CCTCCAGCCCCATTCCCCTGAAGCTTTTTGGGTAGGGCTAAGGGGATTGAATTAGGGGAGATGAGAAGCGTTCCTGTTTTGAGGACAAAGACATCACGAGAGAAGCATATTCTGCTGTTCTACACATCAGGCTCTTAGTCCCTGTGGCAGGTCAGCAAAATGGGAGATCTCAGTCTTGTATTGATGCTTGGTGTTACGGCACGGCACAAAGGACCACTGAGTGCATTTACTTGGGAAATAGTGAGGTGACCGCCAGGTGTGTGAAGTGTGAGGTGCTGGGTATGTGCCTTTGCTTGCCAGGAAGGAGAGAAAACAGCGGGCACCAGCTCCTTTGTGGTGATGAGAGTTCATCGTGCTCTTGCATTATGGTGCACCAGAAAAAGCCTTTTGTCTTGACTGCTTGGGCAGATGTGAATGTGCAAAAAGTACTGGGAGTACAACCTCTGCAGATGCAAAACCTATCTATTACTCTCTAATATAACCTCCATCAAGATTTAATTTCAGAAAAAAATTCGCAAGTTGTTTGCCTGAGGGATAAAGCAGTGGTTCTGACAAAAACACAATACCTGGAGCTGGTTTGAACAAATACAGAAACTTGGTCTTACCTGGTTCTACCTCCCTCCACATGCAGCTGAATCCCTATAGCAGAGAAATTAGTAACATACCCACACTGAGTCTATACACACACAGAAAGAGTATGCGAAGCTTAGCTCATCTTCTGGACATGGTAACACTCCTTACACTAATCCCTAGCACACAAATACACTGCTGTTCGCAGCAAAGATCAGCTGTCGAAATACTTCACTAAATACCAGCTACTCATAGCTTTCACTACCCCAGCCACTGGTTAAGTATACTCCTGTCCTCATTTCTCTTAAGATTTTGAGGACCATGGGGCTTAACCTCGTCAGCCACCAGCTTTCCCCTTGGTTACATTAATTTCTCACTCACCAGTCCCTCTTTTTGATGGAGTCCTTCACTGACTCCCTCAGCAGTGGGGTTTTAACGTTTCCTCACAATATCACGCAGTACGTGACATGCAAAGAATATCCCATTATGTTTTCAGGCACCTTCTACTACCAATCAGGTTTGCACAGGTACTGAAATCTTTTCAGGAAGCCAGATGCTTTTGCTGTGTCATTCTGGAGGGTCTCTGCTGCGCCCTGGCCTGAACATGCTTTTGGATTTGCAGAGAGAAAAAAACCAATTATTTTTTTCTTCTATTCATTAACACATTAATAGGCCCATCCGAGAATGAGAATGACTTACTGTTAAGTGACCTCTATACTCAGACAAGAGAAAACAAGGCTCTCCCATCCTACTCCTTATGAGCACAGGCAGGTATATGTTAAGCCTCTGCCCATTAGGAAGACTGTAGGTTGTGTCCCCGACCATGGAAATATTATCTAGCCAGGCTTTCTACTTAGCAGTTGCACAATGGTTTTCAAGTTAAGCTGCGTTCCTCAAATGCACAACGGAGAACTCCTGCACTCCCAAACCCTGCTTGAAAAGTACTGACTCATGCACTGACTTTACAGTCTGGCAACGTCTTCTCTTCTTCCTAAACTATCAGTAAGAAGTGATTGGGGTATGTTATCAAAGAGAAACATTCAGACACATTCTTCTCTTGAACCTCCCTGGCTCTATCAGCTACGATATTGACTGCCATTCCCTAAGCTCTACAGTGTTCCCACATCAGAAACCTCATACCAGCTGCTTTCACCCACGCTTTTGGTTTCCACTCTCTGTCAAACTGAGGTGCTGGTTTGTTGTGGGCAGGACAGTCGGGCACTCAACTGTGCCCAGCTGAGTCCAAGGGGCATCTGCAGCCCCAACTACACAATTTAGCAAAACAAAAGGACCCTACACATACATTATCTCTTCAAAGCATTTGAAGAGATATCCAAGTTGAGGAGCCCGTCATTCAAGCTCTCTTCAGCTGGAAGCTCTTGCACCAAACAGCAGCTTTTAGTGCAAAACTCTGCTCTGTCAAAAGATGTTAGCTTTCCCAAGTAAGAGGGCTCACAGAGAGGGCCAGAAACAGTGCACTCTGGTTCACATATGAGTGGAAGAATGTATCTCTGCTACTTAAAACACCTACAAGCGCATTATTTCTCTGTATAGCTTTTGGGTAACTTCTCCCCAGTTGAGTGTACCTTCAGCCAAGGAAAAGCATTTTTGAGCACTCAAGGATACAAACTGTTCCATGGAGCACGTTGCCATCTATTTCCCTGCCATGGGAAAAGCTTCCAGTCACTCATCCTTGGCAGTACATCCTTCCTGAATATTCTGTCTCTGTCAATGTAAGATGTCTCTCTCAACTGTCTCTCAGTAGTAAATTGTGAGGAATAAAGGGACTGTTTCATCACTTCACAGGTAATAGCGGAAAAAGGAGTGGGAAAAAAAAAATCACGTATACAATGCGGTAACAAGCATAAACACTCTGTATTGTTCCCTGACCTTTCATTTCATTTTGAATTGCAAATGGATTAATGATAGCAGAAAAAGGAGAGAGAGATGTACACAATGAAAAGCTTTTCTGCTTCATCCCTTATAGGATGCAAACAGAGTTTAGCTGCAAAACCTGTCTTTACAGTTGAAAGTAACTTTTCTTCATAATGAATCTGGAATGCCTAAAAGATGTGGGAAATCTGTTCCCCAGTTTAATATTAAACTAAATATGATCCTTCGGTCTTTAACTGGGAACATCTGGTAGAAAACTTTGCTGGTCAAAGTTTACTGGCTAATAAAGACTAATAAATTTCCACAGCTAGAGTTACGCATGTTTTATATAAAAGCAATCACGACACTACAAAGCACTCAACACTTAGAGCAAAGGCAAATATTATTTTGTAAGGCATGAAAGAAAGATACATCATTGCAATTTAAAATTAATTTTATGGCAATAAAATAATGTACTTTTTTCTTTTTAAATACAGAGCCTAATTAAATTATAACCAAACCTAAACCTTCAAACTCCTTAAAGCAAGAGATCAGACAAATATGTCAAATATGTTTAATTTTTTTCAAAATAACTGATGGCAAAATAAAATATTTACATCACATCATACTGTGTAAACATGTAACGTCACTGTACAAAGAAATATACATGCAAACTAAAGCAAAAATTTAACTAAAACAATAAAGGAAAATAATACACAAACATAATGATATGAGGTTGGTACGAATACACATCCAGTTTCGAAGTCAGTTGTATTTCTTTTAAAAAGTTTCTGTACAACTTTACAAAAAAAATCCAAAAAACAAAAAAGGAATAAATAGAATACAGTGGAAGCCGCAAAGCTCAAAACTAACCCAAGCTAGGTTATGGCTTAAGACCCATATATCTAACTATCGTGGGATGTCGGCTTGGTTTCTTTAAACATGGCATTTCACACAAACATAGATGACAACACACCCATATGAACTCAGTGATGCACCGAAAACCATCTCTTTTTAAATAGCTCACGTTAATACTACTTCAACCTTAAAAAGTTACTAAGACAATTACATTACGTGTCAGATTCTCATCTGACCACTACTTTCTGAATGTATTCTTCACCAAAGAGCACAAAATTCATTTGTTCATTTCACAGAAAGAAGTAAACACAGATTTGAAAATTCTAAAAAGTAGTAAGTGTTGAGACTGATTTGGGGAAAGTCAGACTTTGGCATTTTGAATATAATAATAAATTTTAAAAAGTGTCACCCTACTTCTTAACCAGTTTGAGATTTGGGATATGAATCTCTCTTTTTTTTTTTTTTTTTTTTGTAAAAAACACTTAAAATCAAAATTCTTTTAA